AAGATACAGCACCACCTTTTGAAGATTAAAATCTCCATAATTATCTAGTAAGGCTACCCATTGCCATGGAGAAAATAAATTAGAAAGTGCAGCAAATTTGGAATCATCCATCGACATAGTAGAAGAAACTAGAATGCTTGCTATATTATTTATTCCACTGCCATAATAAATATGGATCAGCACTTGTATTTTGCAGTGTAGAGAGAAATGCTACAGTATGAGTAAGAGTTAAGAGAAAATGAAGAGAATTGAGTGCTGGATATGGTGTGGCAGTGAGCAAGAGAGAAGTTGTGGAAAGCATATTTGGTGTGTAATTACATTGTGTTGTTCATTTTGTTATTAAAATAATATTTTTCTTGAGTATTCATCATTGTGCTTCAACGGAGTCTTGATTATTGCATCAGAGTCAAGTGTCTCTAGTCATCTCATTACATTGATGCGCCCCTTTCCGTGGCTGATATGTCAATACAAGTTTCGATATCTCAGAATTTTATTTTCAGCATTCACATGTCACCGGTTGATTTAGATGATTATTAAAAGGTTGAATCCTAATCTTGAGGGTCCTTACCGTCCCGCCCCTAGAGTTTTATGAGAAAGGTAAATCGCGGGATGTGTCCCAATAGGCCAGCGAACAAGAATTGCCTGTACACTACGCTTACAAGGAGTCCAATTCCATGTTTCAGGAATCGAACCTCCACACTGCGGCTACCAGCAAGGCGTGAGATAACCTCATTTCTATCATTTGCACCATTGGACAATGCCCTGGGGGGGCTTGATTTAGATGATTATTACATTGATGAAAAGAATGGTTTTTACTGTTTTTAACTTTCTTATTATCGTTTTATTTCAAACGTCTAAGACTTTTTAAAGCTTTTTTATGGTTAAATATTATTCAAGAATAAATGCTGTTACCTTTCAATTCAAGTATGTATTTGGATTCTTTGAATGAAACCTTGAATTATGAATTGACAAGCAGTGTTTTTAACCATCTATACTCTCTTTGAGTGCGCACGCGTGTGTTAGTGCCAAATGTAATGTGTTTGTGCTTGTAATGTTATGTGATCCCGAAATATAATGATAATATTGTGGATTGGTGCATTGCTGGGTGAACGATATAATTTATTAATTTTTTCTTCTATTTTGTTGTGATGTTTAATTGTTGTGAGTGATCACAATCATGATGGCTAAAGAAGTATAAATGAACATATTTTGGAAAGAACACCTTTATATTAAAATAAAGAGGTTACTTTACGAATGACATATTAGGTTTTGATGCTCATTTTGGTTTGCATTGAAAATGGCAATAATGAAGACCGAATGTTAAATTGTATTATCACTACACAGTATAAGAAAAATTGAGAAGAATGCATCATATAAACATCTCAAGGTTGGATTCATATTAGTGTATTTTGAAATATTGGATTTTGCGACACATGACAAAACATTACGTCCGGAGTTGTTGGTGGAGGTTGTAAAGCCTGTGGTATATAAGAATTAATCAAAACCATGGCAAATCCATAATTATGAATAAGCACCAAGTTCATAGTCATATGGAAATTGAGCAAGAGGATCAAAAGCATGAAACTGTCATTACATTAGGTAGAAGGAAAATTCTGAATGTACAGAATTTGGCCAGAACCCTCATTGTGCGCGGGCCCCATGTGTGATATAAAATGCCAAAAAATCAACCACCCTCCCCACCAATGTGTCTTTTCTGTAAACTATTTGTAAGCAAAAATTCTGTAAGTGTAGCTTCTCTCTTATGTAGAAACATCATAACATGTTTGTGAACATAGCAAAAGCACTTAAATAAAAACTAAAATTCAGGCCCTCAAGAATAAACTAAATTTATGAGAGAATGTTAGTTCATATAAATAACCTAACATCATCCAACTATTCCAACAGCTCTTTTCAATCACAACACCTCTTCAACTTCTTGTCACGCTTGATGCTACACTGTACAAGATCAAAAACGTATCGTAGGCTTCAATCAACTTCTCGCGCCTATATTTGAATAGTTGACATGCCAAGTTACATCTAGATGTCTTTGGATCGAAGTTTTGTTTCATTTCATCAAATTTCTTGTTCATTTCATCAGTTTTGTTTCATTTCATCAAATTTCTTGTTCATTTCACCAATAAAACACTTTGTGGAGAATAAAGGCTGCAATTTTTAAGAACTTTTTCTCCCGCCGAAAATTTTAAACATTCATAAGTGTGCATTTTCTTGCTTAATCTAGTTTTGCACCATTGAACTAATAATCCTGTTTTTGGAAAATGTGGCTTAGTTTTTTTTAAAAAAAGAAAAAGAAAATAAAATAAAATTGCCTAGTCGAACTTATTTTAAAAATGAATGAAAAGTTCTGTACATTACCATTAACTAAACACAACATATCAAGATATAACTATATCAGGATTTGTTGGAAAACTAAGACATACATTCAAAATGATAAGCATAGGAAAGCTGATGTGCGCATAAATATATACAAATAACGATTACAAATGAAAAGAGATGTTCCCAAGACTTATATGGGATTGTAACTTAAATATATATTCCTCAAAGCTCATCTATTGTTAGTTGCACCATGGGATTGAATATTTCCCTTGCTTTACTCGCTTGATATTTGAGGAGGGTCAATTTGTGATTCGAGTGTAGGTATTTTTGGATAAGGATTTTCGATGGAGGGGGTTTGGAAGGAATATGAAGAGACTCCATTTTTGGGATTTGAAAGTAATCGAATTCAATAAATGGCTTGTTTGGCGGAGTAAATTCGGCTAGCTAAATGATTACCCTATAGGAGTTAAGTAACTTTTCATATTTCGTTTAGACTATAAATTTTGCAGTATTTATGGTATAGAAAAGCTAAAATGTAATTTTCAATATATATTAAATAATAGGTCTGTGGTATAATTTCCATTAAGACAAATTAGAGCAAATCGAAATTTACAAGGAAAATGGACTGTAAATCCTTGTGTTTAATTGAACACATGATTAAGGAAAAAATTCACCAGTCAAGTGCCTACTATACACAATTCAATTTTCAGGTCGCAAGTTTGAAAATGCAAAACTCAATTATTTAGCTTGTTAATTAAATATATTTATTAATAAAATATAAGAAGGTCATAATTATACAATTAATGTTCACAAGTACATAATTATAGGTCACATACATCAAATATTGGTCATTTCGAGGTTACAAATCAAAAAATTTTAGGTCACAATTTATTTTATTGGTCATAGATAAAAAATATAGGTCACATCTTATCTATTGATCACATATTTTCAAATTTATTGATCACAAATTATTGAATTTTAAAGTTACAGTTACTTATTTGATCACAGATTAACCAAATAGTTGGTCACATACACCAAATAGTTGGTCACATACACCAAAAATATAGGTCACAGAGCTTATTTGACCTCTTGGGAAATTTCGGCAAAGTTCAGTGACCATTTAGAGACGAAGTGAAGTTCGGTGACCTCCTATGGAAAATTGGCAAAGTTCAGTGACCATTGGGGGGATTTCCTCGGGCTTAACTAGCAAATTATAATTTGCTTCGATGGTGGGTCAGTCCAACACGGCTGGGTCGCATGTTAAAGAGAACTCAAATGGCTCCCTCTGCCCCTCCCTAGTTTAGAACGGAGCTAATGAGTTGATCTAAAATATTGAAAAATGTTATCACGTCAGGACTAGATCGTCAACCCATCCGACTAGGGATGATATTGGGGGCGGAAGCAAGGTCAGGACAGTCATCTAGTCCCGCCCTTGCGTTCGAGAATTTTTGGGAAGTGGAGTGAGACTGAGAGCAATAGCGAGAGAGGTGGGACTAAAATATTTCTATTTAATTAATTAATTGATTTAGTCATTATTTTATATATTTTTAAATAGGATTTAAATTGAATAATAGAAAAATAGAAAAAAAATTGATTTCGTGGGTAGTGATCATTTTTCCCGTCCACTCATTTACCATTCGAGACGGAACTGTGCAAGGTGGGTGGCGAGTTGAAAATTTTGTCATCCCTAATTTGAGATAATTCGAAGTTTGATTTTAGCAACAATTCGTTTATTTTGACACTTCTATTTGTTTATATATTTCTATTCGATCGTTTATATGTACATTTTTATTCGCCAATTTGTTTCGTCCTGAAAAGAAGAACGATTGGTATTCTAAATTTATTACTTAGATGAACGTACGTGTATATACTATATCGTATTGGATGAGCTCAACTCATAGGTAGATTATACTAGAAATAAATTAAGTTAATAATGGTTAATGTTAGTTGGCACAAATGGAGTGATCAAAAGCAGACTTTATTATAAAAAATTAACTGATTGACAAAATTATGGTGCATAGGGAAACACCTACGTGCATTTTAGCCACTCAATTACCTTACCATTGACTTTCTTGGTACTTTAAGAGCCACTGTGATGCAACCATTTATGACGTTTTATTATTCTTGATCAGATAAAATAATTTTAATAAATAATCCAGATAATATCTTTGGAGAAACAAACAAAAATTATAATTAGAAATTTATTTTTCTTTATAAATTAAAAGTTGTGTAATTGGTACCACCATTCAATTTAAATCTTTCATAAGATATAGGTCTTCACTTCAAATTCTGGAGAACACGACAAAAGGCCGTAAATGATAAGATGGGCTAGGCTCTCCCATAGTAGACAATATGTAAGTGAACGATTTGTGCATAAAGGTCGAATCGTTACAAAAAAGACTCGAGCCTTGTTCCTGCATTTTTTTATATACTACCCATTTGGGAGAGTATAAGCCAATTTTTCGTCTCACGGGTAGTCTCATCCCGCATGATTTGAATAAAAGACGTTTGTTTTATGAGAGACTTAAGTGGAATTATTGTTCCGTTACTAATTTTCCAAATAATTTTTGGAGACTTCTACACACAAGACAAGATAATTATTTGATTCCACTATATATATGCCCCTTGGGTAAAATACAGTGTTTTGAAAAAGCTTCGAGATTTCTCCATGAATCAATTAGGCATAAAAGTACTGTTTTTCCATTTGGTGTTCATATTCTTCCATGTGAGAGCACAAACTCCATCAAATGAAGAGCAAGTGCCCAATTCGCAAGATACAATCAACAATTTTCAACGAAATCTAGCAGTTGTAATTGGTATTTTCTTTATCATGTTCTCTTTAACTTTTATCCTTCTTCTTTATCTAAAGTTCTGTCGCCAAGTGCCAACTGTACATATCATGAACCAGCAAATGCAAGATGGATTGGCTCGATCCGGGTCTCGCGCTTCAGGAATCGATAAAACAGTAATCGAATCCCTGCCTTTTTTCAGATTTTCGGCGCTTAAGGGTTGGAGGGAAGGCCTTGAATGTGCTGTTTGTTTGTCGAAATTTGAAGATATTGAGATTCTTAGGTTGTTGCCTAAGTGTAAACATGCATTTCATATAGATTGTGTCGATCAGTGGCTCGAAAAACACTCGACTTGCCCTCTTTGCAGGCAGAAAGTAAGTGCAGATGATCTTTCAGAATTTACATATTCGAATAGTTTGAGATTTTTATGGAATAATCAGTCAGGGATTAGAGAGGAATCCGACATAGGATTATATATTGAAAGAGAGGAAAGTTTTAAAGGATCTTCAAGATTTAGCATTGGCAGCAGTTTCAGAAGATTATCTGATAAAAGCAAGAAGGAAGAAAAATTGCCTATACGAGAAATTGTCGATGATTATGACGAAAAAGACAAGAAAATTCTTCACAAATTCAATCACAAAATAACTGTGTTCGATGTTATGTTGAAGAATCGTTGGAGCAACGTAAGTTCTTCCGACCTAATGTTCTTGAATTCGGAGATGCTTAACGACACATCCAGTCGAAGATTTTCTCCTTTGGATTCGAGAAACGAGCCAAAAAAATCCATGGAAACCAAAAATATGGTTGAGGAAGAAAGTGAACAGATCATAAATATAAAGATGGAGATGGAAAGAAAAAGAGTTTTCGAGGAAAAATTCAAGCAGAGTGATTATTCCTTTCCATTTCCCAGTTTTCCTACAACCTCAGATGAATCCAAACAGAACTCAGGATTCGGGTCGAAAATTTCGAATTCAGACAAGAGATCAACGTCTGAAATAACAGTTCATCAAAGATTCAATGATAGAGTTTCTTCTTACGTTCAAGAAAATAATTTTAAGGAGGAAAATTTGAGAAGAATATGGCTGCCTATTGTCAAAAAAACAGTTCAGTGGTTTGCAAGTAGAGAAAAAAGGGCTTCACAGTCACAATCTACAACCTCAAGAGAGAGGTTAAATTTGTAAATTAAGACAGTGGAATTTATTTAATTTAGTTAGGGTTTTAAAATACAAGGCTTTATATTGAATTCTTCAGTTCAAGAGACAGACATATAAAAAAAAAATTTGTACTTGTTTTTTTATGAATTAATTGTTTCAATGGTCACTGAATTAAGGCCAATGTCTTTGATTAGTCACTGAAGTTTAAAATGTCGGGTTTTGATCACTAAACTTAAGTTCATGTCTTTGATTGTTCACCGAAATTTAAAATGCCGAGTTTTGACAACTGAACTTTGAAAAATGTCGTACGTTACTCACTAGTATAAATGTTGAATTTTGAAAAATATCGAGTTTTATCAAAATCTACTAAAAATCTGATTTTAATTCCTACAAAATACGGCTTTTAACATATTTTTGTTATTAGACATATACATGTGTAGGGATACTGAAAACAATTTTGTACATAAAAAATGTTGATTTGATTTCTATATCATTTGGAGAATGTTTGATGTCATTAGATTGAACAGGATTTGACGAGATGAATAAAGAAAAGTATGGGATAAAAACGTTCGGTTATGTTGTCGTGTTTTAATCTTCTAATCTATTGAAGTATTATGAGTATGATGGAAACTTTCGATTATTTTGTCCAATAATGTGTCGAGGTATCATGAACGTTTCTAATATTTTCTCTTTCAAATAATACCATTCTAGTAACATGGACCACCTTAGGGAGTCAGTTCTGCCAGCCAACCTGGTTTTGTGCTAGGTTCTTTGATTAGGTAGGAAACCCTCTAATTCGGGTTGGAAACATCTCTATCAAACTCCAATAATTAAATACTAAGTGGTTCAAGATTTTGCCACGTAACACAAAAGTTCATTAATATACAGCTGTTTAGGGATGACTAATTCAAATTATATTTAATATATTGTACTAATATTAAAGACGATGACGAATTCAAATTGTATTTAATATCTTGTACTAATATTAAGTAATGAGCTTTCATGAAAATATCTATTGAATTAAATTATCTCAATTAACAAATAATAAAGTGAATGTGAATCTAAGTATCGTACCACAGAGATTGATTTAGTTCAATTTTAATTATCTTAACTTTAACCAAAATAAGGATAATAAGATATTTGTTTGTTGTGATGAAATTATAATTAAAATTAAGCTACTTATGCAATTATGAATGATTTTACTAAATTGAATGCAATTTATGTTGAATGAAAGATGATGTGTTTTAATGAATAACAAACTCAATAGGATCCTGAATTTCCATGTAATAATCCTTTTTAACCTTAATTTTACACCTTGACAAAACAATTGAATCTTGACGAGTAAATGTTTCTGTTTTATTCAATAACCTTTCTCAATTAATGTCAAACCTATTATCATATATGGTCCGGCTATATTTCTGTGACGGATGCAAACAATCAAGAATGCATGAATGTTTATGAACGCTTAAAGATTCACATAAAATATAGCGATATATTTCTATTTCTTATCGGATCCTATGACGAATTATACTATGTCGAGTCTATTTCCCTTCTTTTGAATGCATAACATAAGTCACCACTTTCATACAATTGCCATGCACAATAATTACGGAGAAAAAGAATTCATATAAATTATTCAAAATTCAAAAACGTGTTTTTGATGTCACCTATGAAAAATAAAAGATTACAAATTCATATCAAATGGTTCATCATTTTTCCAATACAAATAAATTTAGCCTAACATGTTAGGAAGAAGAAAATAAATTAAATATTGAATAAACGACATCACCCAATTAAATTTTGAATTGACTTTTCGAGTCTTGGAGTTGATCTTTGTGCTTTTTGTCTCCTTTGTTTACTCTTAAAACCCTTATGAGTATGTTAAAATGCATGATGAACACTTATAGACAACCCTAGGACTTTAAAAATCGTCTCAAGATTTGTTTTCATAAGAATTTAAATCAAATAAGGAAACAAGAATTTTTCCGATAGAAGTGTACTATGCTATAGTTTAGTACAAATCAATGCTATAATATAGTTTAAAGAAAAATTAGCCTTGGAACTTGCTAAAATTGACCTTGCGACCGCATGGAAAAACCTACTATGCAACTGCATAGTGTTGATGAGAATCCAAAAGTTGCATTTTAGTCTTTGAATTTCGTTTTCTCATTCCTCATTCTTCCAATACTTCATGTCTTTACTAAATTAGTCTTTGACTCTTTCACACCTTCGTTTCCTCCTTTGGGTCATCTTTCAATTATTTGCACTTTGGTCCTAGACTTTGGTTTTCTTCCGTTTTGGTCTTTTTTCGTTTGTTTCATCTAAATTCCATCATATTCATTAATGTTATCCTGTAAAATATAATTTATATAAAACTAAGCCATATTCTAACATATTTATCAACAATTATTTATATTTTGTGACCTAAATAAGTGTATAAAATGCATTTATCAATGAAAGGGAAAGACACAATGTTAATAATTAATTATTAGCAAAATTATTAATTCCATCTTTATGCATTTAGTCAACAATCCCACAACACAATTATATATTATCTTATTGAATCCATCCTATCAACAATACATTTTTTAGTGAGTAATATTTGTCAATTTCATAAAATATGTTGATAAAAAATTGATTTGATCAATTACAAATAACTTATAAACATTAGCCAAACATGGGCTAAATTGACAGCAAAACTCTGTCGTGGCCTAAAGAAGACGAATTCTAATATCCACCATTAGTTTTGATGACAGCAATCAGAGGGCTAGAGGTCATGTAGACAGGTGTGGATAAGCATTACTTGAAAAAGACCTTTAATTTTTTTAATTATTTCTCTCGAATAATATTATGCAGCACCAATGGTGTTCAACACTAATCAAATATATTTATCTAAATATTTTATCGAACGATTAAATTAATTTGAACTCTTTAAACAAGTATATTTGTCGAATTAAATAGGCTATATATCTTTAAGATAGTATTATTCATAAAAATTGCTGAGGAATCTTGTCTATGATAATATAAATGAATTCAATAAGAGGATGTCACACAATTTAAATAAATAAATTAATTTTATCTAACAACTTTATTTTTTATTTTTAATTACGTGTTCAACATTAAATACCAAATGACAAATATATTACAAGCCTATCTCAATAGAATAATATTATCTACCATGTGTTAGATCATAAGTTTACGTGGCATTATGTGATACGTTCAATTAAAAGTGAAATTATGTGATTTATTTAATTGTATATTTTATTTAATGACACTTTGTACCATCTAAACTGATATAATAATATCAATAGTGTTAAATAGCATTACTTATTATTATATGTTTGATTGTAGTTGCATCTAACGATAGAGGTGGGCGACGGACGACATTGATAGAATTAAACTTTTCTTAAGAGAAGAAGACAGAGAATTGAGACGTAAGATGTGACGTCAAGAAACTTCATGGTCATGAGATAAGGATTTTGTTGTTTGTATAGAAAAATATGTCAGAAGTAGCGATCGAAAATGAAGTCGAGGGAAATAATTGGATAAAAAAGCTAACTGTATTTTAAATAATTCAATGATAGGTTGCCATGTGATATTATGTCAATGATTATGTTAACCATTATGTCTGCGTAGCATCTTCCTTATGATAAATTAGTTTCTGTAAAATATTTTATATGTCAACTCCATGCCGAACATCGGACAATCTCTTAAATATTATTTTTGTTCATTTTTATTTTTTCTGCTTAATTAAATTTTCACATTATGTACCTTTGTTTTCGGTTAACAATAATACGAGTGACACAAATTTGGCTGCGTTTATGCACAAATTTGGCATTGTTCTATTAGTACGTTCCATAAGACATTGTATTGACACGATTGTTATCTTGAAAAAATAAAAGTATCTAGCCAACGCACATTTCCATTACTGATTAACTACATGCACTTGTACAAAAATAGATAATCGAGTCAGATTGTCCTCAGTTGTTCTTATCATTGTTACTCGAGTACTTGGAAATGTTGAGATGAAACTACCACTTATTCCTTAGAAGTGATATCAGAATTACGCCACAAACTTAGATATTTGAACGCATAAGACGATGAATGGTAAAATTCATGATTGGATCTTAAGCGGGTGTGTTTCCTGTAAGGTTGTGGCCTCTAACGTAATCAAAGAGTTGGGTTTTGATAATAAATTATCTCTTAAAGGAGAAAAATTCAAATTTGGCATAAAATCATTGTTTGAAATGCAAATTTGATAGTTTCAACGGACTCAAGTGTGACTATGTAAGGATTGATAATTCAATTAAATGAAAAGCTTTGGGACTCACTATGTAAAGATAGATAATTAAATTTAGTGTAAGGCTTTGTCAACGTTAGAAATTGAAACTTGTCCAAACTTCATCCATTTGAAGTATATCGACATGAACTTTAGTCGTCTAAAATTCATATAAAGCTCAGCCATATCAAGAAATCTTTGATTGATTAGATATGAATTTCGAGAAGTTAGGAGAGATTGCACGTACAAGATGGGGATGAGATAAAATTAAAATATTCACATTTTCATTTTTTTTAATATAATATTAATCGGATATGTTCTTCATTCTTAATCCAATTCTCCAACTAACTAGAAAATTCATGCTTCATTTGGAGTAGTTGAGCAGGACAACATCGAACTAGATAGGAACGAAATAGGATGAGATGAGATGAGATGATATGAGATGAGATGAGATGGGACGAGACATTTTGCTATAGTTCTCGCCCGTTCTTATTCCTTAACAGACCAGAAAATTCCTTTTAGTCAAAGACAAATAAATATAGATAACGAGATATTTTGACATCCCTAATTTGGCTGGTTCCTCGTACCCGTACACTTCCCCAGTGCCAGCAACGCTATTCACTTCCTTATTTTCCCCCTTTCTCCTACCATATTAATACAATTCTGATCTTATCTTGTAACTATAAAATTGGGTTTGTCTATATTCACGTAGATGGTGAGGATAATTTCTATGGCGTCATCAATTAGGCCCTCGCTTTCGTCTTTGAGTTTTTCAGGGAGCTCTCGTTTGGGCTTGTCTCTGCATTCCTCCAATTCCAGTCGGAGACTTGGTTTCTTACATCTCGGCAGTTGTAAGTTGCTTGTTTCCTCAAATTCCCCCCCCCCCCCCCCCCCCCCCTCTTTTCAGCTATTTTTTACTGGAGTTATTGTTTTTATGCTGACCCGCCTCTCGAATTCGCGCGAGTGACCTACTTATATCAGTTTTCAATGAGTTGGATTTAGATATAACTCGTTAATAACAAAGATTTTTTTTATTTATTTTTTTTTTTATTCCTAAGGAATTTTGAATTGTATGGTGAATTTTGTTGTATTTATGTACATGTTTAAATTTGAGAGACAAGTGGTTTTCGTATGGTTAAGTATGTGCCTCTCTGTATATTTTAATAAGCATTATGGATAAGGTTTCTCTCTGAATCTTAATATAAGTAGTTATAAACTGGTTTGGTTAATCTTTAACATAATGATACAAAGGGTTTACAGTTTTTGCTGAAAAAGAATGGCCAATGTGGATTTGTTTCTGCTATATGAAGTTTCTGACTGCCAATTGTGAGTCTTCCTTTCAATGTCTAGCAACTTGTCACTGAACAGATAAAACTGGGTATAATATACTTCAGATTCTCAATTTACTTATCTTTCTTTCATTTTTCTGGCATTTGTATGGTTCTTATCAGTTCAAGATTCTGGTGTATTTGAATGAAATTTGGAGCTTGAGTTTAGGAATCAGTGATAGAATAATTTAGACTTATGTATGATTGCTATTCCAAATCACTAATTCCTTGATGGAAACAACATCATGTTCTTGTTTACAATTTTCTTGCAGAATTATTTCTATAATTAGGTCTCATTCAGTTTAGCTTGTATTACATAAATTGTTTATAGTTATTTGAATAATAAACTTTGGTAACTTCTTAAAAGTTTCTAATCTTCATTTTACTAGGTATGCAATAACTTAGTTAACCATCATCTTTGTTATATTGATCAAATACTTCAATAAAACTAAAGAGTGATCGATATGTTTTTGGGTTAATCTTATAAAACATCCATATTAAAGAGTTTTGTGTTATCTATTTATTCTATCTTCTGTATTAAAATAGTTGCTGTTGTTAATTTTATCCAATAAATATCAAATCAGAACTGTGGATGAACTTAAATTTTATGGGATTATGGTGACACTTGCATTTGACTATCCAACTTTTGTGCTAGAAACTGCTCAAGTTTAGTGAGAGAAAATCCAAATGCTTTAGCATCTCTATAATGTTCCTTGTGTTAATAAGTTCACAATAATTGATCTGATGCATCAATAACGTCCCTCTTTCAATTCAGTATTACAATATGCCATTTATTAGCAAGTTCAAAAGAATTAATATGATGCATCAATAACGCCCCTCTTTCAATTTGGTATTACAATATGCCATTTGTGCTTTAATTTCTTTTCTTCTTGCTAATCTTAGGATCAATCATAAAAAAATTTCTTATTCTATTTTTGAGGAATGATCCTCGAAGCTGGTGCTTCTACCGCAGAAAGAATCATGCAACATAAAATATGAGTTTACTCAAAGATTGGTGGACTCAAAAGGAGTGCTTCTCACTTGCTAATCTCTATGTTTTCCAGCGGTGTCACAGTTACAGTGCTCTGGCCTTAAAACTTCTAAGTTGTTTAGGGGAGAGGGCACCAGCATATCAGTTTGTGCAGCAGGTAACATGGCACAAGCAAGTACTGATAGTTCCCAAGAAAAGGCCTTAGAATGGATTAAGAAAGATAAGAGAAGAATGCTCCATGTTGTTTACCGCGTGGGGGACTTAGATAGAACAATAAAGTACGCCTTTTCTTTTTGCCACGATCTGCTTTCCATCTTGGCTTTCTGGTTCTTCTTTGTACAGTTGGTTGTGTAAATATAATCAAATGGTGGCTGCAGATTTTACACCGAGTGTCTTGGGATGAAACTGCTTAGAAAACGTGATGTACCTGAGGAAAAATATACAAATGCATTTCTTGGTTATGGGCCAGAAGATTCTCACTTTGTTATTGAACTTACATACAGTAAGCATTCATCAGTTTTCTCGAATATTATGTTCTTGATCTGTACTAAGTATCAATTGCACAAATATTATTATGACGTGCCTCTTTTTGTTGGCATGTGCTTTCTCCGCCAGCCTAAGTTGATTTTTCATTAATACTACATCTGATGATTCTGTCAGATTATGGGATTGACAAATATGATATTGGGACCGCATTTGGCCATTTTGGCATTGCAGTTGAGGATGTAAGTTTTTCTGTCAATCTATATAATAATGCAATGGATAAGATTGAAACTAAATTATGTGTCTTTATAGCTATAATCTGAAAGACTGAAATACCTTTTATCTGCGGTTTTCTGTTGCATATGTCCAAATTACTTTAAACTAGTGAACTCTTATCAAGAGTATTATGTCTTGCTGTAGGAATTCAGTTAAATGCTTTCATCTTTATTTTATTATTATTTTTTATTTTTATTTTTTTGTGCTTGGAAACCATGTTCATGGATGAATGGTAGGATTCGGAACCAAGCCTACCAGGCATCAGCCATGAGTTCCCTATCAATTAATATATTTAATTGATACTTCCCTTCCTATGTTCCTATCTGTAGCTCTTTTGTATACTAGCATGACACAGTTCTTGGCCTTTCGAAAGATGATGTGTTGAGTGTCGACATTCAATGTTTAGGATCATATCTTTGTTTTAAGAGCATGCTTGCATGATTCTTTCTCCTCCTCTCTCTGCCTCCCTCTCTTACGCATGCACACGCACGCACACCCTCACTCACATTGTTATTCTAATTTTAAAATGGATATAATTGGTTAGTATTGATATCGTTACAAATAGGTAACAAAGACTGTGGATCTCATAAAAGCTAAAGGTGGTACAGTTACCCGAGAACCTGGTCCTGTCAAAGGTGGTAAAACAGTAATTGCGTTTATAGAAGATCCTGATGGTTATAAGTTTGAGCTACTGGAGAGAGGTCCTACACCTGAGCCATTGTGTCAAGTGATGCTTCGAGTTGGAGATCTTGATCGTTCTATCGAGTTTTATGAGAAGGTGTGTTCTGCTTTCAGGAAATAAGAAATGCACTTTTTTTCTTTCCTTTTTTTAGCCCCTATTTGGTGGGGATTAAAATTAGATTTTTAGTAGATTTTGATAGAAATTGATGAAATATGTGGTTGTAAAGTTGTGGGACCCATAGAATATGTGGTTGAAATTAAATGTTGAATTTGACTCAAATTAAAATCTAAATTTTAATCCGTACCAAGTAGGGGCTTAATATTTTCATGATCCTCAACATCATTTTTGCAGTAGTATTGTGTCTTACTTATCCCTAAAATATTATTCTTTGCAGCTTCATCTGTTAGCTTTGCCTTATCTGTCCTTTATTCTTCATAATCGCTACGTTATGCCTCATTTTTTAGGCTTTTGGCATGGCGCTTCTTCGCAAGCGAGATAATCCTGAATATAAGGTAATCCTGACATTTTCATTATTAGGTCAAGTTGATAGAGAAGTCTGAAGATTGTGACTTATTCAGTAAATATTTTCTGTGTGTGTGCATGTGCTGGAATTTTCAAAACAAGTGTCGTGCCTGAGACTGATTTTGGTTAGCTTTTTGCTTTTGTGTCACTCCCTTCCTCTTTGTATCATACCTGATTTTTTTGTTGCAATGTTTTACTTACAAGTAAGAAAAAGTATATATCCAACTGATGTTGGTACCAAAAGCTACTTAAAAAGAAGCTTCTACTTCCTTTTAAGCTTAGCTAAACATGCTTATCCTAGTTGCATAATTTACTGCCTGCAGGTCTCTCTGTGTATTACGTTTGGAGATCCCAATGTACTGATGTGTGCTCTTGATCCTCTCTGCAGTATACTATAGCAATGATGGGTTATGGTCCGGAAGATACCAATACGGTCTTGGAGTTGACTTACAATTATGGTGTTACCGAATATGACAAAGGAAATGCTTACGCTCAGGTAGATTTTTTTCATTTTCCTAGCATTACTCTGCCGTGCTTGACATGATATATTATGCCTGCTGACTTTGAAAGTTAAAATCCAAAATTTGAATAAGCTGATTGATTATGAATTTCTTGCAGATAGCAATAGGCACAGACGATGTTTATAAAACTGCAGAAGCAATCAAGCTATTTGGGGGAGTAGTTACTCGAGAACCTGGACCTTTACCTGGCATTAATACCAAGATTACTGCATGTCTTGATCCTGATGGTTGGAAGTCGGTATGACCTTTGCTTTTCAACATTCAGCGCTTTACTTATTATAAGATCAAATCATTACTGGTTTAAATTGCTCATCTTTGTTTTTGGATGGAGGTGTGCCTGTTCCTCTCAGTTTTAAATCAATATTTGTTATATGCCAATTTGGCTTATGGATTTCGAATAAGGAACTCAAGCTCTAAACTAAAATGCATTTCGCTAATTTTATTATGTCTAGAGGAAGATTAAGTGTACATGTGGTAGCAATAATTCATATGGTAAGATTTTTTAGGCTATGAATTTCATATGGAAATAATTTCATTTGCTATGTGAAATGAAGAGTACAAGTGTAGCAATGATTCCTATTGGACAATATTCTAAGCAATAAATTTCAAATTGGAGATAGTTTGAAATAATGTTAATTGGAGATGGTTTGAAATAATGTTATTTTTTATTTTGCTTAAATCTATTTATTTGTGTCTTGCAATTCTTAGATCCAAGTTTCGACAGTGGAACAACCATTCAAAACTATGTTTTCAAACCTCAAATGCAGTAAAAACCTCATATAAAGGTTACGAGGAGCAGGGGTAAGATGCTATATTTCCTGGAAGGAATACGTCACTAGCATGGTACAGAGCATTGGTTTTGAGGGATTACTTGAGAATTGTTTTGANTTTTTACTTTAAATAGAAAATATTAGTTATATTAAAACTTATTTATTCATAAGTAAGCTCCTGTTTGGTCGGGATCAAAATTACTTTTTTAGTAGATTTTGATAAAATTTAATGAAATGTGTGATTGAAAAGTTGTAGGTCTCATAAAATATGTGATTAAAATTAGTCGTTGACTTTGACTTGAATTAAAATTTGAAATTTAGCCCCTGTTTGGTCCCCATTTTCAGAAAATGAAAATAGGTGAAATAATGTTTTTTTTTGAAAAATGTGTGGTTGAAAAAGAAGGAAAAATTTTCGATTCACGTGTAATATTATTTTATGGAAGATTGTATGGTTGAAAATAGAAAAGAGAAAAATGAAATAATGTAATGAAATTTAATGTGGGTCAAACGGGGGCTTAATTTGTACCATAAAGGGGCTAAATTTACTTATTTATTTACAAGTAAATATACTTTTGTTTCTTAAACACGTTTGGATAACTTATATTTTCGTATTTAAGTGAACATTATTTTTCAAAAATAGCTCTTACATTAATGTTAAAATAACTAACTAACATATTTTGAGCTTTCATTAATAAATTTGGATTATTTATTTTTCTTATTTTTTTACCAATAAAGCTGCTTCTATAGGGAAACTCTTAGCTACATATTATTATGATTTATTAATAAAAAATTTTTTATTTGAAAACTTACTTTTTACTTCTAAGAAAATCTGCATCACTGTTTTTGCTTTAAAATATTAATCAATTAATTTTTTGTTTCTTGCTTTTCTTTTTGCTACAAATAGAGAAGGATAAAAGGGAGTTATGGTGATTGTATGTGCTACTTTGGATGATTTTATCCTAGAAGTTGATCAGTATTATTTGCACCAAAGACTATGGTCCTATTTGATAGCCTTTCTTTTGAATTTTTTTGGGAAGAATGAGTTTTGGGATAGTAATTTTTTGGAGAATGTGAGGTTAAAAAGTAAGAAAAAGTTTTGAGTTTATGTGAAGAATATGTTATTTTAAAAATGTGTGGTTGAAAATAAATATGAGAAAAAAGAGTTTTGAAAGAATAGTTACCAAACAAGGACTATATATGACTACATCTTTGGTACGCTACTAGTACTAGATAGGGCTAACAATACAATAGACAATAATTTAGCATATTTTCTTCCTTGGCACTTCTAATAAAATACATGTTACTGAACAAGCCACAAATAGATAACTAAGCCCCTGTTTGACAACCATTATTTCAAAACTTTTTTTTTCATTTTTAGTCACACATTCACACAATAAAATATTTTGTATGTAAACTCAAAACTTTTCCACACTTTTTAACCACACGTTCTTTAAAAATTCATTATTCAAATCATTGTTTTATCAACTAATGGCCAGCAAATATGGGCTAAATAAAATAAGTCATTAAGAATTCCCTCTTGCTTGTAGAAGCTGCTAAATGTTATTGAATGGGATAGTGACAATTTTTTGTGATGAGCTTCAGTCTCGTATATTTGCGTATCAGCATAAACTTAATGTTTGGTTCAAATCTTGAAAGGTTTTTGTATGTGGATTTGTTAATAGATGGAAATAATGCTAGATGTATTATATCAGAGACGAACTACATGAACTTCTTTTTGTGATTCAAATTTTATCTCATTCGAATCTTGCAGGTCTTTGTCGACAATATTGATTTTCTCAAGGAACTGGAGTAAGCTTTGTAAAAACTGTTGTGCCAAACTTCCGGAAAAGGGTTGAATCCTGATATTTACGACATCGTTCCCAGTTATGGCTCGCTCGTGAAATGATTCATCAAGAGGTTTCACATAGAGAAGTGTGTGAATTTCTACCTTAAGAGATTAGATTAGAGTGTCGTGTTATCACATTAGAGGTATGTTCACACACTTGAGCTGCACTTTAGAAAAAAGTTTGCCATTATAAGTATGGCCTTTTTGTTTATAATTAGCTCCATAATAAAGAATATATCAACAATCATTTTCATGTCAAAATGTTGAATGAATTTGGTTTCCAATCATTTTCTACAAGTGAAATTGGTGAAATTTCACTCTTACATATTAGCATGGATCTCACAAATATTTGCTGCCTCTGTAGAGCTAATACACTATAAATCCCAAACAGAGTCCAATTAAGCCCTTGGTCGACAACCATTATTTCAGAACTTTTGTTTTTATATGCTCATTTTCAACCATATGTTCACACAATAAAATATTCTACACGTAAATTTAAATATTTTCCTAGTTTTTAACTACTCATTCTTTAAAAAAAAAATCACTATTCAAAACTCCGTCTTACCCAATTAATGGTTGTCAAACGGGGGCTAAGATTCTCCCTTACTATTAATATATTCACTTACTATTTTTTCTAATACGTTCAATTTACATAATCACTACATTCTTTGATGATTATCTCTCTATAAAAAATTTTATGGTTGTGTTAAGTTTTGAAACGTTCTTGAGAAAATTTCCACCCCCTTTTTACCAGGTTATTCGCGGTGTTTTTGTTATTTTTCTGTAAAATTGGTGTCAATTTGTTGATAAACTTCAATTGAAAAAAAGAGTTCAATTCACAAGCTAGTGAGTGAATTTAACAAATTGTTTACTCGAACCCGAAAATAAAAACAAAAAAAGAAAAAAGAAAAATGGAAATTAGAACCATATTGTAGTTTATACTCAGTCGAATACTGTATAGAAACAGTTCGAAATCTGACTATAAACTAGGATATATTTATTGGTAGTTGATTCATGTAACAAGTTTCTACACATTTGCCAAACAGTAAAAGCAAACATAACTCAATTAATAGCTAAAATTTTTGGAGAATCTTTTGATTTTGCCATCTCAATGATGTCCCCATTTCCATCCTTGATATTCTCGTCGTCATCCTCGTTCCAAACCTTTTCTTCTTCAAAATTCCCATAAAAATAGCTGATAATGATATAGTAGAACACATTTCCCACACTAAGCATTGTAAGAATCCACCAATAATAATCATAATGTCCCTTGTTCAAATTAGTCGAAACCCAACTTTCTTTCCCTCCCTTTTTCGAACAATCATCCACAATTTTAACTATTAAGCTTGCAATCAAGTTAGCAACGGCCATTCCCAACGCGAAAAGTGCCACTGCAATACTAGCCATGTTGTTGGGGAACTGCGAATAATAGTACTCGATCTGGCCGATGGCATTGAACGCCTCGCCCAATCCACTCAAACAATACTGTGGAACTATCCACATTGCAGTCATGTTCACCACTGCATGTGGAAGTTCTGCTAATCCTTCTTCAAGGGCTCTTGAGCGACGCTTTTTCTCAACCAATGCTGACACGGTCGTGGAGAGACAAGAAATCAATAACCCGATTCCTATACGGTATTTGACAGGAATCCCACGAGGGTCTTTGGTGTACTTTGTTAGGTAAGGGACGAGGATTCGATCATATATAGCTATCCATAGTGTTAAAGTAAGGATTCCAAACAGGCCGAAGGAGGCAGCAGGGATGCTGAACTTTCCAATGAAGTGTCTGTTGAAGGTGTTTGCTTGGAGTACTGGAAACGAGTGTTGGCTAATGGTGATGGCAATGACAATGCCGGTCGACCACATGGGGAGTACTTTGATCAGTGATTTGAGCTGTTCTACTTGCTGGATCGTGCATAGACTCCATGGATCTGAAGCTGAACCGTCAGGGTTTAATTCTTTCTGCGGGTTTTGAATTATGCAGGCCTTGTTTAGGAACCTAAGAGCACATAAGAAAATGGATATCAGAGCTTTATTTGTGCACCTCAAGGTTTGGCAATACTACTAATCAGTTACTAGCTCAAGATTTGCCAAGAAAGTAGTAGAGAAACCGTGTACTGGATGTTCCCGTCTATAATATCATATCAGTGATGGAATAACTATCGAGGTATCATCTTGGGATTGACTGTCACGGAAAGAAAGTGGCGATTGAAACCCTCAAATGTAATATGAGTATTTTTGTTTGGGATTGACTGTCGTGAAAAGAAAGTTGCGTGTGACAAACATGCAGAGTATTTTTGGCTTTGGGTGAATAAAGGTCACGCCCTCTATTGCTATAATTATAGCCACGAAGACTTGCTATAAATTGTTGAACAAGGGTAGCATGACTTATTCTCTTCACATTTTGAATCTCCGATGGTGACACTGTATGGATGTTAACCTTCACGAATTTCCATCGCGTCTCTCAAAATTTGAACTTAAAGACTTTTGCCTTATGAGAGACTAATTATAATATTCTTGGCATCGTAGAAGTTTAAAACTAATACTTCAATAACTATATAAACTAACCTTAATCTTCGTGTTGGAGCAACAAGTTTTGAATCATTGCCACGATAATAGCATCCATCGGAATCCTTTAACGGGAAATCTACGTGTTTATTCTTCCGAGCCGCTGCTATAACTTGAGCAAAACCAGTAAACAAACTCTTGCTTGGCGTCACCTTAATGTAAAGATTTGTACCGAAGAAAAAAACAATGGCAGACACCAACATGAGGCCAACCGGTACTCCGAACCCAACGATCCAACCGTATTCGTTTTGAATATAAACTATTACTGTGAGTGAAATCATGAGTGAGAGCCCAACAGAAGCATAATACCATCCGAAAAAGCTCTGCATAATCCTTTCGTTATTCGGGTTTTCTGGGTTTTCGAATTGGTCAGCTCCAAATGCTAAAGAACATGGCCTAATGCCACCAGCTCCAATGGACATCAGCACAAATGATGTGAAAAGAAGTGCAATCTGGCCTGCATTTGGTTTGATACAATTTCCTTTAGATGGATCACAAGAAGGTGGCCTTGCCTGTTTAAGTATGGCTGTTAACCACAGTACAATCAGTCCCTGCAATCAAAGCGAATTCAAATGATCATATGTATTTTTAGGGTTAAAACTTTGGTGGACTGAACTTTTAGCGACATTTCATTTCGGTCGCCAAACTTCGTATTATTTTCAAGTTGATCTCACCTAACTCAAAACTTTGCTATATTTATGGATCAAATTTGTGATTGAAAAGTTGATAAAATTTATGGATTCTAAGAAACTTGTGGTTAAAATTAATTGTTTATTTTGACTTTAATAGTTAAAAAACTTTTTAAGCCTTCCCAAACCAGCATAAAAATGAAGTTTAAGAAGCAACATGAAATTTCGTTAGAGGTTTACTCACTGCTAGTTCTTTCCACCGGTATGTTTAGGAAAATTTACGATTGCGCTCTCTAACCTTTTAATCGAATTGATTATGAGTCTCCAACTCTCAGAAGAGAGGTTTTGTATTCTTAACCTATTTAAATAAGTAAAATTGGATCCTCAATCGATGAAAATATTCTATGTGGACGTTAAAATTAATCACATGTAACTTAAAAACTGAAGATAAAAATGATCAAACCGCTTCATAATCAACATTAAGTCACTTGAAAGTCAAGTATAATTTTAATGTAAGGATCCCGATTCAAAGAGTTAAATAGGTTGAGACCCAAACTAACTTTCGAAAATTAGGGACGAAAATCCATCGTGTACAATTTTAACGTTTGCATTAATGATGACGCAAGGATCCAGATTCAAAGAGTTAAATAGGTTGAGACCCAAAACTCACTTTTCTTCCGAATTTTTCGTAGTGTATGTTTGGTTAGATCAATCTATGCAAGGAAGAGTTTGAGGGGAAAGGAATTTCTAACCATAAGACTAACAATTGTTGCCATGCAAATCACAATAAATCGACCCAAATATGAATCAGAAAGGAAAGCTCCCAAGATTGGCATGAAGTTCGAAATGGCTAGCCAGATGAACAAAATGCTTGTTCCAGTTGCAGCATCAAAATGATACTCAATGGTAAGATACAATATCATATTTGGCAGAAGTCCAAAACTTGCTATCTTTTCAAATGCCTCATTTGCTGAATTCACAAAATATACAAATCAGCATATATATATAAATCATGGCATACTTTATCTGCAGTATTCGACTCGACTAAAGATATAAAATTTACCTATAACGAAAGGCATTGTCCGAATACCTCCTTTACGTCTAGCGAGTGGCGCAGGAGTCTTTTCCACGTCTGAATTCTCCATATTTTCTCAACCGGGAAAAAAACCCTTTTGGTTTACAAGTGAAAATGAGTTGAGGGAGAAAAGGAGAGTTCAATTTCTACAAGCTCCAACCGGAGGAAACTAGAATAGTTTGTTTCTTCCTTTATGGATTACATGGGGTGGAACGGCTACTTCATTTATTTTTCTCTTCATTAAATTCATAACTATAATTTTTGTTTTGTATCGTGGAGCACTAATTGCAAAAGCCAAGGAATATAATATTAAATATCAATGAATTATAAGAGAATTGATTGCCAAGTTTTCCACTAAAAGCTAAGGAAAGCGATTATTTTGTGTCATCGGTCCATTAAGTTACGAAAAAAACAGATAAAATCGCTTTTGTGTCCATCAGGAATCAATTTATAACGATTACAGAGGTCGGGGAGAATGGTGTTCTAGCTAATTGTCTTCCTCTATAGTTGGCAATAGTGTGTAAATTAGGTCACGTCGGCCATTCTTGACTTATATCAAACTTGTAATGGGATATACATAAATCATATCTAATGTGTGATCGACTAGTTGAGCACATCAAATATGCAGTTGGGTGAGGTTTATTTCATGATCTCATGCTTATAAGCATGAAATAAACTCCACCCAAATATTTACTTGACTTGATACACAAGCTTAATCCATGTCATGTCTTGTCAAACTAACTCTCATGTGCTAATAATAACCTCCCAAGAGATGTAAAGAGAATTGTACTTCTGTCATTTTTTTGAAAATAAAATCGGTTTAACTGAATCGATTAACCAGTTTTGTGTTAAGATCGACCAGTCATAGGGTTTGACACTGATTCAACTACTAAACATACCTAACATGGTAATTGGACACGACCGGAGTTTAATATTGGGTCACCAAATCTCGAGATGACCTTGCACGTCTTTGGACTAGATCAATTGGGCTGTTCATGCTCAAGAGGACACAACACGTCTTCGCCCTAGACTAGAACAAGCTCGACTAGGGGCGGACCCAAACAGTTCGAATTGTGGGGTCAAAAATATTTTTTTTTTCGAACAACGTATTATGAACAAAAAGGAGAAATTAGTGGTTTGCTATTCGTATTCGATGTTTGCACTTTGGGAAGAAATCGGTGGATTATATGATATATTTATGGACTAACTAATGGATATGAACTACATGATATGGATATAGATTTAGGATTTGAGTTTTTTGGGCATTGGGCTAGGAAATTAATTGGGTTGGTCACTTGGCTGTTGGGAGCAAGCAGAGAGAGAGAGAGAGAAAAATTATGTTTTCAGTAGGAGGGAGGAAAAATCCAAAAAACTGTGAGGTTATTTGACCCCACATGATCCCATGTGGGTCCGTCCCTGAGCTCAACCCAGGTCGTTACAAGTATTATAAAAAGATATCTAAGCCCTGTTTGGTATGATTAAAATTAGATTTTAATTCTAAATCAAAATTAACATTTAATTTTAACTACATATTTTACGGGACTCACAACTTTGTGACGACATATTTCGTGAACTTTTATTAAAAAAATTTACTAAAATCTGATCTTAGTCTCCACCAAACAGAAACCAAGCAACCATTCATGAAGGATAAAACAAAAGATAAAAAGATAAGCTAAAATCACCCACAAATGAAAGAATTTGGAACAATTAATTAATTTTTTTTTAATTATTCTCTAGGACGATCTTCAATATTAAATATATTTATATACAATCCTCCAGTCTGGAAACTTAATTCAGTAAGACTGGTTTTTGTGCATAAACTATGTCGTCTTTTGATATTAAAAATATAAACATTGAATAGCTGATACAGATATGCTTATTCCTAGTAAAAAATGTTACATTTCTTCACCTTCGATTCTTTATACTAACTTATTCAGCTCAGCTCCCATGCCTGCATGAAGAAAATTGAAGTTATTAGTCCATGTTCGTGCATCTTGCGCGTTTAAGAGCAGATTTTAGCAGTACATTACCTGAATTCTTCCATCAGATGTCCCGATAACTAAAATATCTTTATCATTATCAAGAGCCATGCAAAGAATTTTGCTGTTGGGATTACTTTGAAGTGTTTCTACTCTGGTTTGCTTCTTTTTGCACCAAACTTCGACGATACCACTCTTACATCCCAAATATATTAGTTCGGAGCTCACAACCATTTCTCGAACATCCAAGGTTGATGGCAGTGATCCGACCATATTGTAATTCGAAGTGCTCCAAATCTTTTCAAAGGAAATGCCAACAAAAAGAAAACTTCAGCTTCATGATAATAATTATAACAGATATGATCTCCTGTTCATTGTGGGCTGAATAAAAACTTCTTACTATTAACATGGCAAGAGAACCATAAGTTTATACATTCAGATAATCATACTTACGATTCTTTTGTCACATCAGCATTAAGAAATTTTTATCATTAGTTATAATAGAAAAATAGTGACGACCTTCTACTTTGCGCGAGGTTAGGGGAATAATACCTTAACATTTGCTCCATCAAGAGAAGGACCAGCTGAATATATCAGTCCATCTTGAACTTGCAGTGAATAGATGGGATATGCTTTCCCTAGTAATTTCTTGGAGCCAGTCTGAATGTTTCCTATTGTTCCGCTGACTAAATCGATTTCCTGTAAAATTAGTCAAGCGACGATTTATGTATGGACCTTGTACGTATAATGAATAAACGAAAATGTAATTTTTTTGTACCTGAATGCTATTGTCATGGCACCCGCAATATAGTTTTCCTTGTACGAGAGCTAAACACTTGACATACTTGTTCTGATTTAGTACTTTGGAGGATCCATTCCATGAGTGTACCTTAAAATAACAAGTCGAAATCAACATTTCAACACAAAGGCCTGCAAATTTTTATTCTACTCGAACATAGAGTAATCACTAAAACTAGACTTCAAATTACGAATAGTTAAAAAGAAGATGCAAAGAAAATATCAAGAAAACAGATTTTATCGTTTACCTTGATCCCAACTCCTTGTGGAATATAGCAAGCAATGTTATTTGAAACTACAAGGCTGTTGATATGATCCTTCGTTTCGTGAACCTGTTCACAATGAATTCCTTCCTCCATAATTGACCAAACCTACCAAAAGTAAGGCAAACTTTTTGCATTAACTAAGCTTTATACTATTAGTTTGAAGGAAATTGATATGATCTATTCTGAGCACGAATTTTGTTGGTTTTGTGGTAACAAAACCAAATTGACTCAATGAGTCTTTTTTAAAACACACGAGTATCATACCCTCACAGTCTTATCAAGGGAACCACTGTATAGTTTCCCTGCTGAATGCAGCATTACTAAGCTGGTAACTGGCTTGCTGTGTTCTTGAATTTCTTGGACGAGATGCAGTAAGGTACCTTTACAAGTCCATACCTTTAGCATTAAAAAGGAAATGGATGCCATCAATCTCAGTTCAAAACAAATTATACGATTGTCCATGAAATTGGCCATGTTCTTAAGTAAGAATTATTAGATGAATGAAAATAAAACATTTGAACAAAAGTGCATACAGATTCAAGAACGATAGACTGACCTTTATTATTCCATCTGAGTGGCCGGAGAAAATTTTGCCTCTAAAGGAAGCAATTGAAAGAACTTCACCATTGATGCTGCAATCTTCTTGAGCTAATTCTTTATGATTCCAAAGATCCTACAGCCCATGAACATCAGATAAGTATATAAACTGGTAGATTCCATCTGAAAAAGTGGATGTGTAAAAAACTTACTGCACTGTTGTCATGCTCTTCAGAGAAGACTTGTAGCATCTCAAATGCCAAGACAGATGATTTCTTCAACTCCCTCAAGCCTTTTAAAATATCCTTCATGTGGACAGTAAGATCTTGCAATCCGTCTGAAATTTGCAATACGTATACTTTATGAGAACCCCATTCGTTTAAAAAGTCACAATGTTCATTATCCTCTGCAGATATTACTCTTGATTTTGAAAGATAGACATAACATGAAGAAAGGGAAAAACCTAATCAACTTTTGAATGATGCTAACCTAAATTTCATTCCTTTTCACATTGTTTTATTGGTCTGTCTAGGATAAGGAAATACTCGAAAAGAAAAATCCACATAAGAACAAAAAACTCAGTGTATAATTTTCATTCATTGATTAAATTGCCACACTAACCAGGGTCACGGACAAAGCTGTTCAGTGCAAGCATGGAGAGTGCTCTGTCATCAGTGTTCTTCTCGGATTTGAAAATTGAAACAAAGTGCTTGAGCAAACATACACGTGCTGCCCCTCGTATCCCCGTGTCTGGAAGAACAGAGAGCATGTATATGAGCCAAGTGGCGGACATGAAGCATACTGATTGTAGCTCTGCATATCTACTTTTTAGGCCTTCAGCCAAAGCCTCAAACAGTAGTCCAAATTCATGGCTGGCAAGAACAAATGCCACTTTTCTTTCCCACTCGGCAGCTTGCTCTTCCTCCTATGGATTCGGTTGGCAACATTAAAAATTTAAAATAGTAAATATTTAAGAAATCAAAATGAGAATTGACAAGAAAGTGTCATGGAATTGAAATTTTGAGAAGATGCTATCTTTGCTGATCTTAAAGAATGAATGGATTTCTAAAGTGCCAAATGATAAATGGAAATCTAACCATAGTTTCTTGAGTTTCATCAAATATTTGCTGGCGACGCTGATCCTTCTGCATAAAGGTTTTATAACTTCTGTCAAGTCCTGCACGTTTCAGGAGAATGGCCCTGGCAAGGGATTTCCCTGAATAAGAAAACCTTCCTTGTAGGGACAAAACTGTCTCTGCAGCAGCAATTTGAGCAACAGGGTACTCTGAATTTTTTAGGCATGAAATAAGAGTATCTATGGCCTCTTCTCGGTATATACTCATTTTTCTTGGTTCCTCCTATAAGGTATAAATCAGTTGTTAAACCAAGAATACAAACACGAGAGTACACATGCACACACCCAGAGAGAGAGAGAGAGAGAGAGACGCACAAGCAGATCAAGTTGCAGAAGCAAACCAGCGACAATAGGG